GATGCTAGTTCATCCTCAAATTATCCGTCGCCAACGAAGATGTTTGCACCCAATTCTGATCTGTGGCCCGTTACTCAGCCGCTTACACCAGATACCATCAATACATTGAAGAATAAAGACGTCTCGTTACTTGAGTCAACATATACTGCCGATTATTCATCAGATGGTCTAGGATCACATATTATTTATAAATCGGATAATTTAAATGATAGAGAACACGGACTTTCAAGAGCGGGTGGAACAAAAATGGTAAATGATATGATAACTCTCAAGTTTCCTGTTATCGATGTCGGGACGTTTTTCAGATGCCACATTTTGAAAGAGTTTTGGACCCAGCTCGTCCACTCGAGGGTATGCAGTCTCTTCACCTGCACGGTCAACAACCACAAATGTATTACACCCCAGAACTGAAAACATGGTTCGTCATACAGTGACTAACGTGTTTGTTCTCTTCTCTGTTATTTGATTCTATTACAGGACATTAAGTGAAGATGAAAAGCAGGATCATCAGCTACGTTATGGAAAAGATTATACAAATCTACCGGCCGATTCATTTCCAACAGATCGTGCACCAATTTACACGCGTATGTAAACGGAGAGAAACCCACAGTGTAAAATGAGCTATCTTTGAAAGCCTCAAGACTTCAAATAGATTAGAGAAACTTCATTGTATGCTTGCTAAAAATCTTCTATTCGAAAATGTACCTGTCCGTGCACGGATCCCGTATTAGGAATGAATACTCCATATTCTTTAGCAAGAGAAGAAAGCAACGATCAACCGAAAGCTCATGGTGAAATACGTTATTTACACTTAAAACGTCCACAATCCGCACAAATGCCTAGTCAAATACTGCAATTTCGTCGCAATCAAGATCAACAAATGGAGGCATCAAGTCGATATCGTGAGTTAGAGGCGATTAAACCAGCCGATAATATTACTCTCCTCAATTTGAAATTGAGAGCGCTACAGCACCCGAGGCATGCACGACCAATATTACCTCAATATCGAGATGATCATGTTAAAACATTTTATTCTCATGTGGGGACATATGTGCAAGAACGCAATGGCCTGTATCATACTAGCTATAATCCAAGTCTTCTTAAACAACAAATCCCTGAATTAAATGAATACAGTGGAAATGAAAATCCGCATGGTGAGACGTCGGTAGATAATTTGTGTTCACCTGAGCAAAATCAGAATCTGAGTCCAAGATATTTACTCGATGCTGGGGAGGCAACGCAAGAACGTCAGAAACCGAAGTTATTTCAAGATAAAGTCTTTCGCGACTATCGCATGATGAGAGTGAGTTATTTCTACTTTTTCATTAAAACTGTCTGTTGACATTCAGTATGCTTTGTTTAGAACCATCTCACTGATAAACTACATGCGCCCATTGATGCAGGATGTGTTGATGCTCTTACACAAGAAAAAAATTTTATTCATCGTCAATCGACGTACGCTCAAGCGTACAATACAAGAAAATATCTTCAAGAAAATGTATTGAGTGCTAATGCGCGTGCGGAACCATCTCGTTTAATAAGCACATCAAATCAAGATTTGAATAGAGTGCGGTACGACAGTGCTTTTCCATTATCAGATGCTGAATTGAAATATCAAGATACTGCCTTGCCTCACCCATCTCAACGTCCGACAACGTCATACGATTGTTCTCAATCTCAACGCCACGTTCCAGATAACTTTCAAGTTTCGCATCCACTTTCACGTTCAGCCACGTTTTCTCATTTTATGCCATCGCACCAGCTAAATGAAAATTATCGCATGCCGAGAAATCGCGAATTAATCCAAAATGAAGCAACAATTGTCGGTCCGTTATTACCACCAGCGCCTTACGAAGAGTTGTATTCATCAAATCATATAAACGAGCAAACCGACGGCTATTCAAAACGATCAGTACCAAGAGTTTACGATTCGCCTTTCAAATATGATGATGAAAACATTCAGTATAAAGTGTTTGGACCACCACTATCATCCACAGACAAAGCATCAACCACCACCACCTACGTTCCTACAGCACAACAGTCAAAATCGACAAAGACAGTTATTCAACTACCCGGCAATGAGATAGTGTCACGTTTCGTTGAACCGTACGAAAATCCACAAACAACATATCAACACTCGTATAAAGATCTTGTATATCATGAGAAATTACCAACACAAAGTCCTTACACTTGCAGTTCAAATGATATCGAACGTATGCTAAAAGGTCACCGCCTATCCGTTAAAGATGGTGATATTCGATTTGGGCGTATGTCAGACGGCAGAGTGAAGCAATGGAGATTGATCGATTTACAAGATCAATGGACAAAAACAAACGCACAACGAGAATATCATGAATTGCATCCAGAAAGTGTGCCGTATGTTGGAGAGAGCACAATAATTGGAAAAAAAGCGGTTGCTTTAGCTGACTCACGCGCGAAAAAGCCATTTGTCGCTGTAATGTGAGAGAAGAAAAATCATGAATGAAAACCTTTATATCATTTCAAAAGAATTGATCTTTTTCTAATGTCATTTTTACCTAACAGCAGAATTTTGTTAAAGCAAACAAATATAGGTCTACATTACTAGAATTGCATTACACAGGTTCAGTTAATCTTAGAGATGATTATCTAAACGGGAAATGTCTACTAATGGAAAAGTTGTCGACTAAATCATTTCCATGAAATAAACTGAAAGTTCAAAGGTACTTTTAGTGCATCGAAAGCCATCCACTGATAGGACGCTTTGATCGAGAAGTTGTTATTGAGAACATACACAACATGTTCTTATCAATAACGGTAAACGAGACCATTGTTCGAAATGTAATAGCGATGTATTTTAAATAATGTGTCGTTGCGCTTGTTGAGTTCGCATTTGTCTGTCTAAAACTTTCGTTTGTAATAGGTGATAGTAGTAGTAGTAGTTGAGGATAATTCTTAAACGGAAGAGCATCAGAAAACAATGCGTTAGAGAAAATCTGTTCTTGTGCCTAGAGTTCGAAGTGGTAAGACATCTCTAGAGAGTATGGTGACTGTTTTAACATTATTGAACCACCGCATTTCGTCATTTGATGCATCGAACCAGTAATATAGATTGAATTCAATAAACTTTTATTTGTTGCTTTTAGACTATGTTTTGACGTATTTGATAAACATGGTCAGATAGTATAACACTGTTGGAAATAATGTCGCATATATGCATTAAAAATTGATTTCTGTGGTTTGAGACACGAAGATTTTGATGTTAAAATATATTTTAACATTGAACTGTTTTTGAATGTTGTTAAACATAATTTTAATATGCTGGCCAATTAAAATTTTGAATCAACATGGAAACTATGATATTTGAATATATTCACGTTCGAAAGCATCGCATTTTTGATTGTTAATTCAATGCAAGTTAACTGAACCCTATTATGTATCCATTGGTACATGTTCTTTTTTTGATTAATTGGTTGTTTCCATTTAATCGGATGTTAATATAAGTGATGAATGGCTATTTGTGGCTGTTCTTATAATTTACGGCTGAGTTTATTTTTAGTTTATCCGGGAGATGCCTCAGTTATCGTCGGTGAATAGTTGGCATATAAATGTGATTAGCCTTTGTTGAACATGTTGGCATGTCAAGATTAAAATAAACGATATTCTGAAGTTTTCAAATTAGTCTGATGCTACAGCAATGACGCCCCATTTCCTTACTGAACTGCATGCTTAAACTCGTTGAAACTTTTCAGGAATAAACCGGACATTTGAGCAGGGGAAAAATTATATTTTTGTCATGTGCATTAGCACATTTCATTTGGTTATTTCAAATATGGTTTCTTCTTACGAAGTAACAATAGATTAAAATTGAATATGTCTTTTGTATTGGCTTACGAGTTATTTACAACTTGCAAGGATGCGGTGGTATTACAACATATGTTTTTAATACATGAAATTTCGAAATGGTATTTTGTTCGATTATTGGAAAAAGAAGTGAATCAGCTGAGGCACTACTTTTTAAGCTATGTTGGATGGCGTTTCGAAGTGCTATTTGTCCCAACAAAACGTATTATCGTTCATGTGGGTTCAGAATAAATTCTGAATTTCCTAACCGCCTAGCTGTTTATGCAAGACACTCACGAGTGGATTGGTTTCAGTTTAGAGTTCTTCGCATTTCAGAAGGAATAATAAATTTTTACAATTATTTGTATATTAATATTCCATTCAACCTGAATGATTGTTAAGTGTATGTAATAAGATGTCAAGAAGTGATATTTATAGTCAGATACAATGTGTTTGAGATATTTGTTTTTTCCATTTTTTGCATTTTTTTTCTCGTTCTTGCCTGTGTATATGAGAGGATTTTTGAATCTTGTGAAATTTTTCTAAATGGTATTTATTGTTAACCTTACATGAAACAATAAAGTTAAATGTTTAGAAAAATGTAATAGTGGTGTATTTTAAATAATGTGTCGTTGAACTTGTTGACTTAGCATTTGCCTGTCTAAAATTTGAGTCCAAAGTTTAGATGAAGTGTTTGACGATTATTTTGAGTAATTGAAGGAAGCTCGAAGCGTCGATGATGTGCATAGAACACACAAGTTCACTTTTCGCTTCTTCAAGCATCTTTCAATACTGAAGTAATATAGTGGCATAAGAGGAACGACATATTCAGTTGAATTACTGATGACATCTGAGCTATTTACTGTTGTAAGAGCTTTTTTTAATATATACGATAAGTGACGGATGGTGGTGTGTGTAGTTCCAGGTAAGTTTCCATACATTTTACAAATAGACAGCTCTAAGATAACTTCTAATATCGGCTCTAAGATCGCGTGTTTTCTAATATTACTATGCCATTACATCCTGATGTAATGGTATTTCTTGAAATCTTCTAAGGAGAATCTAATGAGATTTTATTATAAAATCTTCGATTTCAACAGACTACTATACTATCAATCCATTTCCTCTTTCTCTTTGAACAGTAGGGAAAGGTTTGTCACGAATATTAATTCGTTGAGATGAATCAGATGCCTGCTGGTATGTTGAATTATTAGTATAGAACTAATAATTTATTATTTATTGTATCTAACGAGCTGTCTCATTTCATCCATTTTTTATGATGCTATTAAATGAACCGAAAAGTGATGTGTGATTAAAATAAACATTCATCTTTTCTCTACGTCATTACCTAAAGGAAAATTAATTAACAATATGATGGAGTCAGAGTTTTCAATATTTAATAAGTTGATTAAAAGAATTCTTTTTCTCCGTCCTTCCGTTATATTTCAAAACAATTGTCTTGGTTTTTTCTTTCTTTCTTTACAAGTTCGAAACAACAAGACACAATCGTCAGAACTAAAATTTTTTTGACATATGGAAATAAAATAAATGTATTAGTGATTTAGATCCAGTTATTTTATTTGTTTTTTTTTCTTTTTAAGACAAGATAAAACCCGTATTCAATAAATACACTGATTTAGATGATTCGAACATTATTCTATAATGTACCGAATGTAAGCGATTGAGCGCAAATTTATGTAAAAAATATAAATTCCGATAGTTCTTTGATAAGCGGGAAGATTTTTACGCATTCACGCAGAAAAACAATTGTGTTGCCTATCATTAGTTGATAAATGAATTTGAAGGTTTTCTTCTCATACTTTTCCTATGGGGCTCATTGTGATATCTCTCATGCTTTGACAGCTTTTCTCTGTGAAAATAACGTATTTGTTTGTTACAGTAGAAGTTAGAAATGTTACAAAGGATTGTGTGACACAGAACTTTAAATTAAAAACTAGTAATCTGTCATTTTTTGATTTATTAATATACTATGATGGCACGCTCATTAGCTTTTTTAATTTAAATTGTTTTAACACATTGTTAAACTAATAGACTTTTGTTTATACACTTGAAAATGAATAAGAAACTCACAGTATAAGTTTTTCTATTTTTGACTCGTAATACTTGTTTTCAAAAGAGGGTATTATACAGTGCATTCGCCACAAAGAAGTTGTTTTGTGTTGCTATAAGTCACGGCTAGATCTAATTTACTTCACCAAAAATTGGATTTGAGCGATGAACTTCAGTAAATAATCTTTTTCTTACTGAAGTTAACACCTCTTAAATTATATTAACAGGAAATTTTATCTATGAGTACTTATAGAAAATAGTTTTAGGTTTTTATTTCTAACACAAAAACATCAGTATACTATGATAAAGAGAGAATACCGGAAAAAGAATCGTGCAATACTGCTATTTAAAAAGAAGGAAGTTTTTATGTCCATTTTTTATGTACTAAACAGAAGAAAATAGTAATTTCGTTTTTATAGCACTCAATGTAATAACTTTTTTTTTGCAAAACATTTGATTAATATTCGTACTTTGTCACTTGAAAACATAGAACACTTGTGTTTAAGGTCGGGAATAGTGACCGTGCCTTAGAAGAGAAAAATCGCTTTTTTATCACTGATAGATAACTTGGCGAAGCATAAATGATATCAATAATGAATGACGACGACGAACCGTTTGATCAAGTGAGTTTGTTTATAAATTCGTGACTGTCGAACAGAATTCATTGTTATGTTTTGATTTTCGATTCCGTGGGACAGCAGAATAATGGGTTTTTTTTCGAGTTAAAACTTATAGTTTAATTTACTATACTCCTACTTTGTATATGTCAAGTTATATTCCTGCTGCGAATCTAGTTTTTTCTCTCTTCCATCTTTTCTCCTTCTGGTAAATATTTCAAGAAAATATACTCTCATCAGATTTTATGACTGGAGAAATCAGTTTCCAAAACTATTATGTATTATTAATCGGTACCGTCATATTATTTAAGTTTTTCAGTTACATTCTATTCATCACGAACATTTCGTGCTGAAAAGGATTCTGTAAACAATAGAATTATCACATACACTCTAAACGACTGAAAAATTGTATATGGTAGTCACAAGATGGAGTTTGAAAACTATTATATTATTCCTGATCTATCGTAACAAAACATCCATAATTTGCAACGAAAGAAGGCTAAAACAGAATCAAAATGTTGCCTTCCTCGATCGTACAAAGGAAAGTGAGTTAGAGACTTTATTTATTCGATATCCTGTAGGCATTATCGTATAGTGTCTAATATGAATAGTATAGATTGTTTAAACGTTTTACCTAGAACGGACTGCTACTTCTGTAGTTTGTCTTGAAATTGAGATACTTCAGTCAAACCCACGGATGGGCGATTGACGTATAGCTTGTCGACTTATTCAGAAACATGTTAGAGAGCGCTTTGGCACTGAAGATGTGCAGAATCAGGAACGCAAATTCCGAATGGAATAAATAGAAAGTTTTTGTTGCGCTAGTTAGATTTCATGTTGAGAGGTCAACTTTTTTCGAGTTTTCGGTTCAAAAGTCGCCGTTTCTCTTCGACTTTTCAAAACAATAATTTTTATTCATTTTTTTCTCCTCACCAAGCGAAACCTAGACCAATAAAAAGAAAATTTTTTCATACAACTGGAGTCTACAACAAAAAAAAGTTTGTATCGCACATATGTACTTCGCACCAGTGGTGTTTGTCTAAATAAGTAAGAAAAACATAGCCTAAATACGCACTTTTTTATGTTTACATATTTATCTACTGTAGGAGAAACTAAACGCCCTCTATTTTACTTCTACAACATAAACGGATACGAACGATGCGTGACAAAAAAATATGCATCTTTTCTGCACATATTAAACGCGATACTTACTTTAATGAAATACTGGAGTCTTTATCCAGTACGAACTATGCAGTCAAAGAAGTTCAAACTTATTGGGTGGTCAGCAAATCGTCTATACTATATGTGCACAAATTAACAAGCTACGAGTACTTGTGGTTAGCAATAATAGAGCATTTTAGAGTTTTGGCCAATACTATAATATAGAGCGAAAAGTAAAGATACAAGACATCGATAAACATAAATGGGGAATTCAATTTTACTAGAAAGATAGAAAATCACAAAAAGAGAACAACGGACTATAGTGCAACTCTGAGCAATGATGTTAGTTAAGGGCCCATCCCCTCAGAAATGATGATTTTCGGTCAAAAAATCGGTTTTGAGATACGCACATGGAAAGATAGCCTGAAGTGTCTACTTACAGAATCTGTATCGCTTTTCGTTACAAAAGTGTTTTTTCGCGGATTTTGAGCAAGTTTTCTAGGAGCCTCGAAAAACCGGGTTTTCAAATAATAGTTTTTTCCTGGGTACTTATGCAATTAAAAATTTTCTGAACACACAGATTTGTAGAGCAAATGTTGCTGATGATAATAAGACCTCGCACAACTCTGTACGACCTTACATCAAAAAGTTACAGGCATTTTCCTAGAAGTTCTAAAATTGAGTATTTCATACAGGATTTAATACCGCGTTTTCTCTGTATAAGAGTTACACCTGAAGTATTTCCCAAGATTTTTTATAGCGGTTTGTCGTAGGGAGTTCATTCTTTTTTCATTTAAAAGAGGAAAAGAAACTACATGGTCTGACTGGCACTGATTTTTGAATTAGGTCTCAGTTTTTTATCAACTTTAGGCTTTTTAGAAAATCCGGAAGGAGTTTTCAGAGTTTGGAGGTTGTTGGTTGCCTGGAAAACCAATAAAGGCTTAATTGAAAAATTGGTGCGGTCAGACCATGTAATTGGGTGTCTAGCTTAAAACAAAACAAATCCGAACTCTCCACCTTGAAATATATTAAACAATCTTGAGAAGTACTTCAGGGACCTTGATCTCTGGAAAACTCGTGAACGGTAAGACTTGGAGACAAAAAAAATTTTTCATTCCCGTAACTCATTAAGCCGAACATTTATTGAAAGTTTCATCAAGATAGGATGTGCGGTGTCGGAGATAATTTCTAAGGGGACCCTTAAAGCATTAGCGTTAGCTAAAGAAAGTATACGATAAATAACTAGAGATCAATCTTAACGTTAAAAAATATAGCACAACCACTAATTTCAAATCATTACTCGTTTTATTTGTGTTGTGTATCAAATTCTAGTACTAGATACTTGTTTAATCAGCTTTGAACTGCATCAGTCGTCCCCTCAACCCATTGAGTATGCTAAGTTGTGTGATTGAAATGAGTAAACTATTTCAATATTATTTAGGGTTCTATAGTGACAAAAACAAACTTAACTTTATGCGGATACAATTATTTTTACACATGTTGGTGTTCATCTGTTAATTCAAATTTATCATCATGTACGTTTCTCTTACGACATGTGGCATCAAATTCCAGTCACATTTGTGTATGGCATATTATTCGTCAACTCGTGGAATGTTTTGATATATCTGTCCTACAGCCATCAGCAGCAATTATACAATCTTCCACCTTGAGTGATCATCATAATCAGGCTTACTTTTCATCGTCATTGTACATTTATTGCACTATAATACTGTTTGTCATTGGTTTATTTGGTAATGGACTATCAGTTCTTATTTTACTGTCGAAATCATTAAGAAAACTATCCGTCTATCGGAATCTGGCTATTATTTGTGGTTTGAATATTGCCTATTTAACATCGATATTCGTTCGTCATAACAATTTTTATAAACATGATATACGGAAACTATCGGTTAGAAAATGTCATCTTCATTCGTTTCTTGTTGCTTATCTTGGTCATTTATGTTCATGGCAATTATGTTCAATGTCAATCGAACGAGTTCACGCTCTTCTCAGTCTTCAAGCGCATCGTCCGACATCATGGATACGTACAACTATTTTATTTTTAATAATTGCAATACCATTATTTTTATTCGATGGTCAGTTACTGTTCAAGTATGGTTTAAATTCAAAAATAAACTCTATTTGTTTATCTAGTAGTATACGAAATGACAAAAACATCAGCATTAACAATAGTCAAGATGTATCTCATCATTTTCAACGAGCGTTCCAATATCCAATTAATTTATCCTCAACAATAGCCAATTCAACATATCTATATCATACAACATCAACACAAAATGTTTCTTTCTCAAACATGCAACATCATAGAGGAGGATGTGTACTATGGAATATTTATGATGGATTCATTTATGCTCTAATTCCATTTATTATTACCACCATATGTAGCTTCATTGTTGTTCTCAAAGTATGTGAAAGACGGCGTTTAACAGTTGTTGCTGGAGGCGGTCGACACATGAGACAGACCCACGCAAGGTTTAGAATATCCGATAATCTATCAGTTGTTTTAATTGCTGTGAATATTTTATTTCTTTTAATGACAAGTCCATTTAACTTTTATTTAATTATTAATTCGTTTCAACCCAATGCAAAATGCTTTCAACATCCATTACTGAATGAAATTCTACGAACAATACAAAATGCTTATCATGCATTAAATTTTGTATTCTATTGTGTTGTGGGTAAAAAATTTCGAAATTCTTTTCTTCACATCTATTTAAAAATTTATAAACGACTATTGTGTCGATATACATTACCATTTACTATTCTCACAAGATGTTGTGATGAAAGACGACGTTCTTCTAGTGGAGTACAGATTACAAATTTGACCAACAGTGATCCAAAATATCGACATGTACGACTCATAAGAGAATTACAGCGAACATCAATCGAACATGTGCAGACAGTTCACATACAAATGCAAACGTTAAAATGAACTAATAAAACATCGGTGATAATTTCTTGTTTGAAAAAAGTTAAAAAGTTATTTCTAGTGTTGTTAGCAGTATAAGAAATAATTTAATTAATATTTCAATCCGACTAATTCTGGCTGTCGGATGCCACAAGATTCGTCAATTAGATTGCAGGTAATAGGTTTCGATGAAATCTGGTGGAGTCTGACCAGATTGCATCGGATTTCATTGAATTTTGACAGAAATCCCAAAAGTTCTAACAAGCAATGTCGTCTAAAATCCGCACAGTGTGTTTTAGAACATTTTTTGGCGCCCTACGCAAAGAAATGGAGGGAATCTAGAACAATTAAGTTGACAACTAGTAATAGATGGAAAACTTTTCAGAAGGAAGGCCAACTAAATAATCAATTAAAGGAAGCCTTGTGTGCTTCAAGACAAAATACATTATTTGTCATACAATACCCTTGAGAAAATTGAAATGAAAGCGAAACAAAAGAAGTAAAAATCCTATTGAAAACAGAAGAAAAAGTCCTTACATAGGGAACATCCAGTGGAACAGATTTTTTAGGGGCAGTCCCTTTATAAAAGGGCATTTGGAAATCCCGTGTGAGAGTGAGCTACGAAGTAACATTTGAACACTTTGCTAAGGTTGATGCGTCAGTTGCTTTATAGGACTAGTCGAAACTTTTGGCTTTGTCTGTCCGAGTTAAATGATGCTGTGAATAGTTATGTTGTATCTAAGGGTCAAACTCCTAAACATTTTCAGAAATATTTGTATCAATGCAGTTCCGTGTACACGCTGATCGTGTTCTGATAAGACTCAGTTTATATTCTATGGGCTAGCAAGGAATTGCTAGCTAGTTTACAAAACTGATGATGGACACAAGTATTGAAAGACATTCTATGAGAGAGATTATGTTATAATTCCCCTTCCAAAAAACCGTCAAAAAAAAGTTTATATTATATCGTTTGAAATATTATTCGAGCGTCAAATGTATCAGAATTTTCTTGAAAATTTGATATTCGATTGCTGGATCTGATGGAACTACTATTCATTTCAAAATATAAGAACCGTGAAATCTTATTATATGTTTAAATCTTTATTGTAATAATTTGGGTTTTCAGGCTGTTTTCACCTAATAATAAAAAATTCACTATTCACTCAAAAAACATCACAACAAGTTCAAAACTTTAGGATATGGTTACTTTTTCTGCTAAACGTGATTATAAGATCGCAAAAATCGAAAAAGCATAGTAAAGTTAATGGGTTTTCTAGAAACCCTTTCGAGAAAGCTTAAAATTTTATAAATTCTCTTTCTAGATCTCCTATAAACAGGATACAGAAGAGCCTCAATACTCTACATTCTGAAGTTTTGAACTTGTTGTGATGTTTTTTGAGTGAATGGTGAATTTTTTATTATTAGGTGAAAACAGCCTGAAAACCCTGTAGCCTGAAAATAAAGATTTAAATATATAATAAGATTTTTAAAACTTTTTCTAAAAAAAATATTGCCACAAGACTCAGCATGATTGATTACCTATAATCATCCATCAGTTTTCAAGGCTATCAATTGTCGCCGGGTGCCAGTTCTGGGACTCGTAGGAAATCCGATACAACGCCCGAACCGCGGAAAATCAAGGTTTCACTTGACTCTGGTTTTGAGGGAGAGATCCCGGGCTAACAGTCCATGTAAAAAAATCGATACAATCCTATTAGAAAACTTTTATATGTAACCTGGTTTTTCAAAAATCTCCTAGAAAAACTTTTATCTTCATTTTCCAATTATATTTGATGGCAATGGCACCAAAAACCTCGAAGATATTGAAGAGTGAACTAGTACATATGAATGGTAGTATCGTTATTTGTGTCTTTAGCGACGATGATAAATATCAATTAGCTGCGGATGAAATTAAACAATACATTATTAACTGCATTCGAGTTAGACATTCAATTTGAATTGAAATTTTAGCAGATACAGTTTATATAGTTTGTATTCACTGCGGCTTTAATCACAATTCATTTGAACAAGTTATCTGAGAAGGATATCGGCTATGTCTAAACTGTATCATGACATAGAATCGGACTATAATGTCACTGCTAATTTTATCATGGTTAAACATCGCATCGACGCAATTTGTGAACGTGAAAAAGCCGAGGAATGTGCTAGGAAAATGCGTGGTTTGTTATGCACCATTGACTGAGACAAAATGATCAGTACTATTGTCCATCCAAAAAAAGAATAGCATATGGATGTTTTTTGCATAACTTTTGAATGGTGAAAGCTAGAGAGCTGGATTTTTCAAATATGGAAGAGGAGATTATGGAGCGTCTTTTTACAAGCGGAAAGTTTTTTAAGAAGTTACATCAACAGATAGAGGGAAGTGTCCTCTTCAAAATGGAATCTAAGGAATTGCTTGAAAATCTTTGGTTTGGCCAGTGATATCGTTGTTACATTCTTCAGAGATTGCAT